AAGAAAATAATGTAGATTAAGGTTTCCAAAGAAGATATTCCAATTCAGGAAATGTTTGGACTCCCTACTGGTAAATTTTTAGTTCATTTATATTTATAGGAAGGAACAATTGTAGGAATGGGAATATTACTTGTTGAGCTAGAGTGTGTAAAATGCCACTGCATATGGAAACCTAAGATATAGCATGAAATGCAGCAATTGCACCACTGGGTTTTAAACTTTGATGCTATCACAAAGCTAAAGTTATATCATAAAGTTTTTTTTTTTGTTGGGGGAAATTACAATTCAATGTTAAAAATACATATTAGTCTTCATGGAAAAACTTTTTTCAAAATGTGTCAGAAAAGCTGCTTGTTCTAGTAAAATTTACTGAATTCTCTTGATTATTCGAGCACACCTACAGACATGATCTCATTAATCCCCCTAAGATCCAAACTATAAGCATAGAAAGTGAAGTGGGTATTGGAAATGGGATGCTAGGACACAGCAATAAAACTAAGTTGTGCCTTGGAAAGAAAGTGTGACATTGTCAAAGGAAGCAGGGGTAAGTAAATGGTAAAATACCCCAAACTGAACATTTGCACAGGATCAAGGGGCTTTTTGTTTCTTGGCTGAATTGGTTCTTGTTTGTCTCTTATTTAAAATCATAAGCAAACAATGGCAAAAGCTCATGCTATAGACTTGTTTATGTAGCTCTTACAACTGCCTGCCACCACCATGTCTCCTTTGCTCAAGAAAGCAGTGGCTTGTTTCAGTTCACTAGATTAAGAGGAACTGCTTCAGTTGCTATTTTCTGTGGTTCAAGAAGGTTAGTTTTGATTTTGCTGCAGTTCAGGGTTTTACCTTAGATTTTGTAAGGCTCAGCAGTTTATGTTTCTATATGCCTAGAAGGTTTCTTTCTGGGTTGAGATTTTCTGAAAAGCAAGCACACCCTTGGTGTCTAGTTCGGCTTTAGTGTGTGATTACGATTTGCCAATTAGCAGTTGTTCCCAGGTCATGATAAAATTAGAACTAGTTTGGGCTCCTGCCAAGTTTTGGTTGACCAAAAAGACTTGAGATATGGTAACAGTGGAATGGTCACAGAAAGCAACCAGGCAACTGTTACAGACTCTCTCATGTCCTCCTACTTGGTGTTTCTCACTTGTGTATTGTGATTGCATTTGCCAAAAGCTAGTGTAGCTTTGTAACCTTTATTTGTATTGATTTTCAATAATAAATTGTAAAAATGCTCACATTAAAATAAATGAATATCACAAGGGACATTGCTAAAAAGAAATAGGAGCAGCCGAGAGAGATGCCTCAGTCACATTCTATTCTATGGTTCCTTCTGGGTGCAATTGAAGCCAAATCTGTAAAAGCCAGTGTAAAAAAGGTTTAAAGGTTTAGGAAAAAAAAAGGTTTAAAAACATTCTAGAAACAATAAGGGAAGAGGAAAGGATGTTGCTAAGGTATTTTTGAGCTTCTGGAGCTTTAATGACTCAATCAAAGCAAAATTTTCTCCCATGAATTGGCCCATCAAGAATTATCAGGGTTTCTGTTAGGTCTACAGGATCCCTTGACTACAGCAGAGATGAGAAACTGCCTTGTTACTGTAATGTTACTTTCCCTCCTAGAATGGGGACACAGAAATTAAGTGAGCCTACCAACAAAAATCTGCAGGGTTGATAAGAAAAGCAAAAACTTTGTGAGTAGGTGGGAGAGGAATCAGAAAGCAGGATAAACTTAAAAAATCCAAATACTAAATAAGAGATGAAATATATGGGACTTTTGCTTATAAAGCTGAAATGCCACTTGTTCAATGTTAGCCCTTCTCTCAAATCCAGCCTTCAGGCTGGCTGTCTCACCCCAGCACTGGCCACCTAGCAGTTCCTAAAGCATGCTACTCTTGAAATTCCATATGTACTCACTGATGAGTTTACCAGTTTCATAGTTTAAAAAAAAATTATTTTAGCTGCTTCTTGCTATGTGGATTTCTTTCAGTACTCAAATGGAAATTTAAACCATCATGGGTCCATTACCTAAGTTCTTATCTCAACAGATTCCAACAGAAACCCGAATTGAACTGGAACTGAACACTCACAGTCAAGACTATGCCTTGCATGGCTTCTGTGTTCTCCAGAGTCCTTGCAGAATTCTGGTTACATAACAGGAGTCTACACCCTCCTAGTGAACTGAACAAAAACGAGAAGCCTTATTTTCACTATATTCAGGATCTGGGGGAAACCAGATTCTTTTCTACAGACCTTACTGCAAATTAATTAGGGTGATGATAACCTGCCAGCCTCAGTTTCCTAATCTGTAAAATGGGGATAATAATGGCATTGACCTTCTAGGGCTGTTGAAAGAATCAAATGAATTAATATTTGTAAAGCATTTTGCAAAACTTAAAGCACTATTCGCCAGCTATCCTCCTCATCATTTACTACTAGTAGTCGTATTAGTACTATTACTAATTCGTACTACATAAAACAGCATAAGGACAGGTACTGGAACTGGGATTTATTGGTAAAGGGAACTCCTAGATGAATTCATTGCAGGTCGGCACCTTCTTTCCAACTTGTCTTGGGAGTCGCTCAGGGCACTGATAGGTTAAGCGACTTATCCAGGGTAACACAGCTAGTGTGGGTCAAAAACACTTCTTCAGCTTGAGATCTTCCCAGCTTTGAGACCTGCTATCTGCTACCACACCATGGAGCCACTTCCATTTAAATTCTCTCAAACATTCCAGATAGAAGCAAGGTGGGGTAGTGCTAATCATGGAGGCAAGGCCTAGGTTCAGATGCTGGCCCACGGTAATTACTAGGCAAGTCATGTAACCTCAATGTACTTCAGGTAACTTATTATCTATCAAGTCATAGAAGGGTTGCAATCTGCTGCTCTGGTGGAGGGAGTTACTGTATTAAGAGTTCTGTAGCTCAGGAAATAACAGATCCTTCCTTCATATATTCATAAAACATCTCATACAGAATGTTTTATCAGTCAAAACTCAGTAGGACTATAGTACTTAGAATAAAAGACAGACAATACCAAATCCTTAATTAAAAGAGGAAGTATGGTATATTTGGAAAAGACTCCTGTATCGAGACTAGAGTAAGGAGACCTGGATTTGAATCCTGGCATTGCCAATTTCTATGTCTATAACCTCGAGCAAGTCACTGGGCTTCAGTTTTCTGATCTGCAAAATGCAGGGGTGAGATGATGGGAGGATTCTATTTGGGATGGAGATGTTACTGGGAGGTCCTTGGGGGTATAAAAACAAAAACACTATAAAAAACATTACATTAACAAGTAAATCCTATGATCCTATAAACTTTCAGAGACTACAGATTCAATATGGTTTACTTCCACAAATTACATGTCCTGAAGATAGAAAATTTCACTTACCTCCCCAATTTGAATGTAGTGGA